GGCGTTTGTTATGCTTGTGATAAGGTGTGATGTGCCTGTACTATGCTTGCAATATGACCAGCATACTTAAGGCACATCACCATCATCACACAAGTATAAATATGTGTGTAAATATATATTTATGATTTGAGGCTGATAACACATATTAACATTAGCATTATTGGGGAAGCATTGTATATGGAGCTTTGCCATTTCATGCACACTAGCAGACGGGAGGGTTTCTAGGAGTTTTCCTTGCAGTGGTTTCATATAGTGTGAAAGGCTTTGGATGACTGGCAGGAAAACCTCAGGAACTTTCAATTCCTTTTTATTAATTTTTTATGGGACAAAAAATTTAGGAGACAAAATATAATGCTAAATATGTTTTATTTTAGTTTCCATTTACATAGTGGAGCACTTTCTTTAAAATTTTTACTTTTTCATGATTTGGTGGGGGGTGGGAGCCGAGAGAGCTCCTCGCCAAGGGCGGTAGAGGCCCTAGGTATGCCTCTGTGTTTGTATGTTTGAGTGTAAGCATGTTTATGTAAGGAGTATGTATGTGTGAATGTAGTTGTATATTGGTGTATATTCTGTATGTTTGTATATGTGTGTCTGTGTATCTGCATGTTTGTATCTATGTGCCAGTGTGTGTCTGTATCTGTCTGTGTAGTGTTTTATCTGCATATCTTTATGGGTGTTAGTGTTTGTATTTGCGTTGTATGTATTTGTGTACTGATGCCATTTGAAAGCAGTAGTTTACTTCTGTGTAGTGTTTGCCTTTAAATGTAGGGGGGTGTCTGTATGTAATGTTGATGTTTGAATGCAGGACTATATTTGCGTGTAATGTTTAGGTTTGAATGCTGAGACATATAGGGAGTGCAGAATTATTAGGCAAGTTGTATTTTTGAGGATTACTTTTATTATTGAACAACAACCATGTTCTCAATGAACCCAAAAAACTCATTAATATCAAAGCTGAATATTTTTGGAAGTAGTTTTTAGTTTGTTTTTAGTTTTAGCTATGTTAGGGGGATATCTGTGTGTGCAGGTGACTATTACTGTGCATAATTATTAGGCAACTTAACAAAAACAAATATATACCCATTTCAATTATTTATTATTACCAGTGAAACCAATATAACATCTCAACATTCACAAATATACATTTCTGACATTCAAAAACAAAACAAAAACAAATCAGTGACCAATGTAGCCACCTTTCTTTGCAAGGACACTCAAAAGCCTGCCATCCATGGATTCTGTCAGTGTTTTGATCTGTTCACTATCAACATTGCGTGCAGCAGCAACCACAGCCTCCCAGACACTGTTCAGAGAGGTGTACTGTTTTCCCTCCTTGTAAATCTCACATTTGATGATGGACCACAGGTTCTCAATGGGGTTCAGATCAGGTGAACAAGGAGGCCATGTCATTAGATTTTCTTCTTTTATACCCTTTCTTGCCAGCCACGCTGTGGAGTACTTGGACGCGTGTGATGGAGCATTGTCCTGCATGAAAATCATGTTTTTCTTGAAGGATGCAGACTTCTTCCTGTACCACTGCTTGAAGAAGGTGTCTTCCAGGAACTGGCAGTAGGACTGGGAGTTGAGCTTGACTCCATCCTCAACCCGAAAAGGCCCCACAAGCTCATCTTTGATGATACCAGCCCAAACCAGTACTCCACCTCCACCTTGCTGGCGTCTGAGTCGGACTGGAGCTCTCTGCCCTTTACCAATCCAGCCACGGGCCCATCCATCTGGCCCATCAAGACTCACTCTCATTTCATCAGTCCATAAAACCTTAGAAAAATCAGTCTTGAGATATTTCTTGGCCCAGTCTTGACGTTTCAGCTTGTGTGTCTTGTTCAGTGGTGGTCGTCTTTCAGCCTTTCTTACCTTGGCCATGTCTCTGAGTATTGCACACCTTGTGCTTTTGGGCACTCCAGTGATGTTGCAGCTCTGAAATATGACCAAACTGGTGGCAAGTGGCATCGTGGCAGCTGCACGCTTGACTTTTCTCAGTTCATGGGCAGTTATTTTGCGCCTTGGTTTTTCCACATGCTTCTTGTGACCCTGTTGACTATTTTGAATGAAACGCTTGATTGTTCGATGATCACGCTTCAGAAGCTTTGCAATTTTAAGAGTGCTGCATCCCTCTGCAAGATATCTCACTATTTTTGACTTTTCTGAGCCTGTCAAGTCCTTCTTTTGACCCATTTTGCCAAAGGAAAGGAAGTTGCCTAATAATTATGCACACCTGATATAGGGTGTTGATGTCATTAGACCACACCCCTTCTCATTACAGAGATGCACATCACCTAATATGCTTAATTGGTAGTAGGCTTTCGAGCCTATACAGCTTGGAGTAAGACAACATGCATAAAGAGGATGATGTGGTCAAAATACTAATTTGCCTAATAATTCTGCACTCCCTGTATGCCAGGCTGATCTTTCTCTCTTCACACTACTTACCCCTCTGACGCTTTTTACACTGGCTTCCTGTACCCTACAGGTGTCAATTTAAAATACTAACTCTTACCTATAAAGCTCGAAACAACTCTAGCAGTTATATTTTGTCACTGATTTGCAGGTATTCCCCTTCTCAGTCTCTCCACTCTGCCAGTGACCTTCTTCTGCTACTGCTCGCACCCTTACTGCTAATTCACACTTGCACGACTTTTCTTGGGCGACAGCCTTCCTTTGGAATAGCCTGCCTACCCCCATCAGACTCTCCCCTAGTCTTCAATCATTTTTAAGAAGTCCCTCAAAACCTATCTTTTCAGAAGTGCTTATGGCCTCCCAGAGTAACTTCTATTTTATAAATATGTCTCTGGCTCTCTTCTAAAGGGCCACACTCCCCTCTAACCTCCAGTTCTGCTACTTTCCCACCTTGTTTGTTTGCTGTCGCCTTGATGCCTTATTGTGTTTTGCAGGAGGATTTCTCCTCCAGGGTCTAATCAGTTGGCTGAAGCTGTTAGGAGTCAGAGGCTCTCCAAATGCACGCTCCCTTGTCGTTGCCTTTCCTTCCAGCGATGCCGAGATTACAGGTGCCTAGTCGTCCTGTTAAAGGACTGCAGTTTATGAACAAGCCCCTGGAAGCGTTTTGTCATCAGGTGGCTCTAAGTGCATGGGCACCCTTATGAGCACTCTGGGTGTGCGGAATGCTGGATAATAATTGCATTGTAACCAAACCCTCCCCAAACACACAAATAGGTATTTCCTGAAATAGGCAAATTAATAAATAAAAAATACATCCTGTAAATGTAAAGTATTTTAATTCTCTGCCATATGCTAACACCAATGTATGCAAGAAAATGTGTTGTCCTAATTTTATATGCTAGCAATGCATCATATATTTCAGATAAATGTTAACCCTATTTTTCTTCTCAGAAGTGAAGGAGTTAATTTTCATGTATTTAACTCCAATGTAAAAGTAAAGATAAACAAACAACAGCACAAAGAACTATTTATAGTTCATAATGCACTCATCTAACTCAAGTGAGTTTATAATAAGCACATTTGCCACCACTAGGTGGCAATATAATCCACTTTTTAGTATACAACAACAAGAAATTTCAAAGATGACAACCTAGTTAAGAATATTTTTCTCTGCTGTCAGCTCTGGTTGACAGCGACCAAAGCCCTTCATTGATACGGGTGATAATTACCTTGAGGGTCAGGTGGGAAATTTCAGTTTAAATGTCAAAATCTGATACAATTTAGTTTCTTCAATTTGGTTGAAATTCTCAGAAACTGGATTACTTACTAAACTGGATTTTGTTTTGTTGGGTAATCATGGTATTTCAAATTTTAGGCCCAAATTGCCAGAAACATAGAATGTGACGGCAGATAAGAGCCATTCGGCCCATCTAGTCTGCCCAATTTTCTAAATACTTTCATTAGTCCCTGGCCTTATCTTATAGCTAGGATTAGCCAGCTTTTACCAGCTCAGCTATTCAGCCCAAGTGTTGCAATTCCTTGGTAAATTTCAAATTATCCTCAGTTTAATAAATGGCCCAGGAAGTTTTAAATTAGAAATCTAAATCCGAGTACATCCAGGCTAAACTGAGCTCTTTTTCAATGTACATGGGACACAAAAACTCAAAAGAAAGGAACATAAGATGTCATAGAGCAATATGTAGGGTTACATATGCTAAATAATGCTAAACATGCACTCACAAATTCAAAATAAAATAGAGCATATCACCATCTTTCCATTTTAACCTGGTCACAATTCTTTATGTATTTCACTTTGAAGACAAATCTTTACCTAGTGGACTATAATATAAGAAGAAAGAATAGCCACGATAGTTTAGTAATGGTAATACACCATACAGAAATTATTAGGAAATGCATTTACAAACCCAAAAATAAAATATCATATTGGAAGACATCTAACAAACTCCAGGCACTCAATGGTGCTCTGTGTGTTCACAGAGTATTCCAGATGACCAGCCTGCTAAAAGTCTGTGTGAATAAAAAACAATAAAGCAATACAATTGTGTCAGGTTTGTCTACCTGTGCAGACTTCTTCAGGACACAATCAAGCATAGACACACATAATTATGAATAAAATACAATTTCTGTTTGTTCAATTTGGTCAAATGCCATTGTATTACAATAGATAATCTAAGCAACATAATAAGCATAGCGTTCTTAACTGTATTTCATGCCAGGAGTCCCTTAGCACCGTCCCAAAGTAAGTTACCAATGAGTGTTTTGACACTTTCCTGGCTCTGATGGACGCCTGTGGTCCTGCCAGACAGAGACACAGGTAGGCAGGCAATGCAAACAAAAATATTTGTAGATGGATCTCTTGCTCTTCTACATCTAATTAGAAAAAAGGGATGGCAGGGCATGTAGTCCTGCTATAACACTTTAAAACTAAGAGGCTGTTCTTCAAGTGAGCATCTAAGTTGAAGATGGCCCACATTAAATTAATTATATATACTATGTATTAAAAATATAAAGTATAAAATAGATATACTCACATTTGATGTTCCTGCATTTACTATAAAAACCCAGCCTGTCCATCTTCTGCAGTGATCTCTGTCTAAATGGGAGGTGTTAGTGATCCCATAACATTTTATGGCAGTGATGAGTTTATACCATATATTTGTACACAGTGGTGTTTATGGATACAGCAGATGTTTCTGGGAAAAGAAAAACCAATAAGAGGACTACACCTCCTAAAACATTTGTTCAGCATCAATTACAGCTGTATTACGGGAACAAAAAAAAAGAAAAGCAGGAATAATGAATTTTCCACTCATTCAGTGATATCAGGTCTTCAGAGAACTGCTGAAAAGAGCAGAACACAATTTGCATAGGGCTTAGTTGTCTCCTATATTAATATGCCATTGAGTACTGCCTTAGGTTTTTGATAATAGAAGTTTTTAAAGTTTTAACAGTGAAACCCTTTTTCCCTGTATGGTAACACCTATGGTCGGGGTTGTCAAGTTGTTCAATATTTGTTACTCCACAAATGTTCAAGAATTTGCAGATGTCTGAGCCATTCTACAACACATGGTGGTTTCAGTCAGCAACTTAATTTCTCGAGGAAGAACCAAGGTAGAATGTCTTAATGCACTTCTTCAGGCCGTTTGTCATTGTAGGTAGTGCTACGTAACTTACCGTATATACTCGTGTATAAGTCGATCTCATGTATAAGTCGAGGGCAGTTTTGTGACCAACAATTGTGAAATATGCTATGCCTCGTGGATAAGTCGAGGGTAAAACTTGGGACTATGAAATTCTGTGATTTTAGAATTATATACACACACACTCATACAAACACACTCTGCATTATATACACACACACTCATACAAACACACATACTCTGCATTATATACGCACACACTCTGTGTGTATATAATGCAGAGTGTGTGTGTGTTTGTATGAGTGTGTGTGTAGAATGCAGATTGTTTATGAGTGTGTGTGTATATAATGCAGAGTGTGTGTTTGTATGAGTGTGTGTGTATATAATGGAGTGTGTTTGTATGAGTGTGTGTGTATATAATGCAGAGTGTGTGTTTGTATGAGTGTGTGTTTGTGTGTGTGTGAACTGGGTGGAAGGAGGGCATTTTTATTATAAATTTTTTATTTTAATATTGTAAGTTTTTTTCTTTTCTTTTATTTGAATATTTAAGGTTTTTATTTTTTAATATTAAGTTTTTTCTTTTATTTTATTTGAATATTTAAGGTTTTTATTTTTTAATATTAAGTTTTTTCTTTTCTTTTATTTGAATATTTAAGGTTTTTATTTTTTAATATTAAGTTTTTTCTTTTATTTTATTTGAATATTTAAGTTTTTTATTTTTTAATATTAAGTTTTTTCTTTTATTTTATTTGAATATTTAAGGTTTTTATTTTTTATTATTAATTTTTTTCTTTTATTTTATTTGAATATTTAAGTTTTTTTTATTTTAATATTTTAATTTTTTTTATTTTAATAGTTTTTATTGTATTTTTTTTTGTATTTTTAATTTAATTTTTGTCCCCCCTCCCTGCTTGTTAGCTGGCCAGGGAAGGGGGCTCTCACTCCCTGGTGGTCCAGTGGATGGGCTGTGCAGGAGGAGGGGGCTGACAGTGAGAGGTTACTTACCTTCCTGCAGCTCCCTTCTCCTCCGTGCAGCTCTTCTGACAGCTCCCACTGGAAGTCTCGCGAGACTTCCAGTGGGAGCTGTCAGAAGAGCTGCACGGAGGAGAAGGGAGCTGACAGTAGCTGCAGGAAGGTAAGTAACCTCTCACTGTCAGCCCCCAACAGGACCGCCGGGCTTGTAATGAGCCCGGCGGTCCTTGTCTGTATTATGGCAATGTAAATTGCCATAATACAGACATTAACTCGAGTATAAGTCGAGTTGGGGTTTTTCAGCACAAAAAATGTGCTGAAAAACTCGACTTATACTCGAGTATATACGGTAATATAGTTGCAGAGATCTTACTTTCTCTATTTTTCCACTTTTTGCTCAGAAGAAACTGTATCCCAGGTAAAATACATAAGGATATTGATTTCTTCATATTGCAGGAACACAATACTCAGTCCACCTATACCAGGACGGGACTGGGACAAAAATGTAACCCGGGCATTTAAAGGCAGAACAGCAACAAAGGGGGAGGAGGAGGGACAGGAACAGGGGGCGTGTTGTGTAATCACAAATGACAAGCACACCTCCCCAAAGTGACATTGTCAGTTTGATGCCTCTAAAGGCATCCCATGCTCAGAGCTCTGCTGAAAAACTCTTGTATGGGGAAAGGTTCCTGTATTAATTTAGCACAGTAATTTATTGTGATTTGTCCCTGGTGTCCCCATATATAAAATAACAGAGGATAAAAAAGGGACAGGTTTGGTAAGGCCCTATGTATGTGTGTGGGGGAATGCTGCCTGGGGTGTTGTATGCATTTGGAGGCTGCTTGTGAAGTTGCGTGTGTGGATTAGGCTACCTGTGGTGTTGCATATATATATAGGCAAACTGTGCACGTACACCGGTGTGCGATGTACACAATATACATTTTCCCTCAATATATTGAAAGTAAAACAATGGTAACATAACCCACTCTGACACAATGTCCTGTAACAAAGCAAAAAGTAACAGCTTATAGTGTAGTATGCCAAAGTTAAAAGACCATATAAAATGTGGACTCAGATTTTAAAAGCAGGAATAGGAATTTTCCTCTGATGTATTCCAAGGACCTCCCAGCTTGTGTTATTTTTTTGCCAGACATCATATACCCAAAGCAGCTCTCCACAAACGGTTCTTCAAATGTATTAGCAGCTTAAAATACAGGTATATATGTAAAAGCAATAAAGGATAAAAAAAAGTCCAAGATACAATAGCAGCGGCAAAAACTGATGCGTTTTGACCAGATAGGTCTTTATCAAAGTGCAATTGGAATCTAAGTAAGTCCCCATATTTATGTTCCAAATTGGTTCGCTTATTTTGTGTGCTTTTCTCCTCATTTCGGGTCTGCCTCCAGATCCCCAGCTGGCTTCTTCCTACTTCCGGGTTTGCGTCATTGCATTGTTACACATTCACACCTTGACGTCATGACATTAGGGATGTAACTTCAGACTTGAGCCAGGTAAAGTATGGGCGCCGTCTTGGATATGGTCTTTTGCCCTCTTTTTATCCACAATCATTAAAAAAGCTTTTTTTAAAAGCTTTTTGGTTTAAGATTATAAATCAATTTCACAATAAATGACTTATGCAGTTACAAATTGTAGAAAATTATTAAAATCATAACAGATTAACCAGAAATAATATATAAAAAAATATTAGCAGATATTTGCCCGATTGCCAGTCCGGGCCTGACCTATACACAACCCAACTGACATACTGAGTATGGGAACCCTTTCTGCTTCTTCTCCCTCAGTCGTCTCTCTATTACATGCCCTCTTCAATTAACTCTGTCTTTACTAGGGTGAGTAAAAAGAATAATGGAGCTGCAACACTTCTACCATAAAGTGGACCTAGCAACGTTTCGACACATAGTGTCTTTGTCAAGCTTGTCTGTGTCGAAACATTGCTGGGTCCACTTTTTAGAGGAATAAATCTTAATTTGACTAATTTATAGTGTTGCAGCTTCATTATTCTTTATATTTTGTGAAGGTGATTGGGGAGTAGCCTTGAAAGCCTGCACCTATACCATACAGGAATAGTGCTGAATCTCCTACAAGAACATACTGCTTTTTTTTTACCAGGGTGAGAACAGACTAAGATTTCCTGTGACTTCTTTGCTCAAAAACCCCAGGAGTTTGGCCAGCTATTATCTGTTTCCTAGGCTCAAGGACTGATGATACACAAAGAAAGGTAAAACGGCTAGCGCTAATAATAAAAACCAATAAAATAAAATAAAAGGCAGCAACCTATTAGGGGGTCACCCTCTAACCCTCTATAGTAGGAGTATACACAAAAACAGAAAAAAGGCTGCGCCACAGAAAATAAATAAAACAACAAAAAAAAAAGTTCGGTACAAAATAAAAAAAAGTTCTGTAAAGGAGTCCCAGTAATAGGTGGTGTCTCAACTGATGTGGTGTCTTCTTTGTTAACAGTTGTCCATCTCACGATATGAAAGACACAATGGGAAAGGACTAATCGTGCAGAGTGTATAAATAAATAGTAGTGAGGTTAAAATATCAATTGCACACTCACATGTCCATGAGCTAGGACCAGCTCTAGTATGATAGGCACACAGCTGATTGCCCTCCGCTTATAGGGGTACTTGTCCTCCTGGGGGGTGCTGGTGTCCAATTCTCATAAAAATAAATAAAAACAGCCAATAGTGCTCTCCGGTGAGGTAGTTAGCGTAAAAGAATAAAATAAATAAAATATACTCACAAATAGAGTGCAGGTCTTACTGCACTCTGTTAATCGCGTGGGTGGTATAATCCCCACCTTAGGATATGCCAGGAACAGTAAATAGAATAAAATAGTATAAAAAGGTAATAAGGTAATAAATTTTACATATATTACCTTTTTATACTATTTTATTCTATTTACTGTTCCTGGCATATCCTAAGGTGGGGATTATACCACCCACGCGATTAACAGAGTGCAGTAAGACCTGCACTCTATTTGTGAGTATATTTTATTTATTTTATTCTTTTACGCTAATTATCTCACCGGAGAGCACTATCAGCTGTTTTTATTTCTTTTTATGAGAATTGGATACCAGCACCCCCCAGGAGGACAAGTACCCCTATAAGCGGAGGGCAATCCGCTGTGTGCCTATCATACTAGAGCTGGTCCTAGCTCATGGACATGTGAGTGTGCAATTGATATTTTAACCTCACTACTATTTATTTATACACTCTGCACGATTAGTCCTTTCCCATTGTGTCTTTCATATCGTGAGATGGACAACTGTTAACAAAGAAGACACCACATCAGTTGAGACACCACCTATTACTGGGACTCCTTTACAGAACTTTTTTTTATTTTGTACCGAACTTTTTTTTTTGTTGTTTTATTTATTTTCTGTGGCGCAGCCTTTTTTCTGTTTTTGTGTCAAGGACTGATGATAGCTGCATTTCACAGATGAAGTTTTGTCATTCACTTTATACCCCAGCAGTATTAATCAGCACTGCTCCTGTAACAGATTTCCTGCTGTTGTCCCCAGCAATCAGAACTGTAGTTGCATATTAAAAAGCTACCTGCTTCTCATAAATCACATGGCATTGATTTAATATATGAAGGATGTAGAAACCACATTTTTTTTCTTCTTTTC